CCTCTCCCCAGATGGCAGCCTGCGGCAAGTGCAGCCGGTCTGATGGCCGAGTGCTGTGATGTGCCCAGTGTGGGTACTCCGGGCACTCCAAGCCAAGATTGCTTTGCAAGCGGGGCATCCCTGAGAACTGTCTGTCCGGGGTGGGGGTCGGGTCTATTTAAGCACAGCCCTCGGCTAGCCTGAGACAGCATCTCCACGCTCTAAGTCCTCCTCTGATGCCCTGCCGGCACTGCTTCTGGCCATCCTTAAGCCTGGTTCAGGGTCCACTTAATGTGGACATGCTAGTTCGAATTAGCAAAACGCTAATTCGAACTAGTTTTTTAGTCTGGATCCGTTAGTTCGAATTAGCTTAGTTCGAATTAACTAATTCGAACTAAGTTAGTTCGAATTAACGTTGTAGTGTAGACGTACCCTGTAACAATGCATGCAGAGGGGCTGCTGCACAGTCCCTCTGGTCTTCACCCCTCCTACCCTCTTGCTTAGTTTGTCCCTCAAAATATCCTTCTGATTTGGCCCAGGGAGAGCTGATTTTTCACTTGCAGAGACATAGGTGCATTTCAGAAAAGATTTTAAAAAGTTAGGAAACTTTTAAATAGGCTACAGGTTACAGCAGCGTAGGGTCTCATACTGCCTGGGAACAATTACAGGCAGTCCCCGGGTTATATGGGTCCGACTTACATCAGATCCCTACTTACAAACAGGGTGAGGCAACTCCGCACTAGCTGCTTCCCCCCAGCAGACCAGGGAGATGCAAAGCTAGAGCCCTCCCCCAGCAGACTAGGGAGACGCGGAGCGGCTTTCCTCAGCAGACATCTCAGCTTGAGAATAAAGGACTGAGGGAAGTGAGGTGTGGGAGAATAAAACTGAGCTCTGGAGAAATGTTTGGCTAGAGTTTCCCCTACAATATGTACCAGTTCCGACTTACATACAAATTCAACTTAAGAACAAACCTACAGTCCCTATCTTGTACGTAACCCGGGGACTGCCTGTACTGGATCTACCACAACATGTCTGTATGAAAGGCAAATGTCTTCTCTGTCCCTCAATTTCCTGTTTTCTAAAATGGTTATGTAATATTAAGCACACAGTAGCATGGAGGGCTCCCTGTTGGGAAAAGTTCTTTGGGATTCTTGGGTGAAACTTGCTGACAGTCCAAAGTTTATTTTTACTCTACCTTGATATTTTGTCCATGTTTAAGCTCCCTTTTTATTGCTTTGTAACTAGAAAAGTTTGATTATACAAGAAAAAGATAAATGTGTTAGGCAATAGAGTATCCTACTTTATTTCTGCCTCCACATTTTAAAAAAATATTGGGCTATTGTCTTATTAAAAATAAGGGATTCCTTGAATCCATAGTTATGCCCATTACCATGTACATGTCTCTGCATTATTTAGTTCTATAAAAGGCCCTTAATATTTATTATTGTATATTTATTATCTAAAGTTAGCCAGTCCCTCAAGAAGTACACAGTTGCTCAGTATGTATATCTCTGGTGCCAAGGGAGCAGTGGCTGAAGTTCTCACCCCTTCTAATGCAAAGCCTAGGCTTTTTTGGAGAATTAAGGAGAACAGCATTCACCTCAAAGCTGCATTCAGGTTGTAATGCTACAGTACAGTCCCCTCTAATGCCTCTGTTCAAGGCTACTAATAAACCTCTCCACACCTTCTAAGCTGCCTTAAACTGAGAGCTTTTACAATACTCTCCACGGTTGAGCTGGGTTGAGTGATTGTGATTGGTTGGTTTTGTACTAATGCAGTTCCCAGTAATGTTGAGAAAGCAGCCAGTCTACAATAGCAAGTACCATTTTACTGTGTTGGCTAAACCTGATCTTCCTAGACAACGCGGTAGTATTTCTTTACAAAGTCCATGAGAGGCACCATAGTAAGGGTGAGTGCGGCTACAGCAAGTGCAGGGGGATTTTAGATAATCTTCAGTAAAAACCAAACCTCAAGATGGGGAGGGGGGGAGATTTCCTAGTCACCATTGTAAACTAACATTCAGTGGCCCCTTCCTGGTCTGCTACAACAGTTCCTATAACTTTTCCCACATATGTGCAGAATAATTTTATGTGCACAAATCTGGACACATCCCTTCCATATTAGTGCACGTAACAAAATTCATGTGGTGGGGCTGAGGCCAAGGGGGTCAGTGTGTGGATCAGAGTTGGAGCAGAAGGTTGGTGTGGGGGGGGAAGAGGGAAGAAGGGCTCCTGCTGGGGGTATGGACTCTGTGGTAGGGCCGGGAACGATGGATTTGGGGTGCAGGCTGTCCCACGGCAACAGCAGGGACAGAGGACCTCCCTCCCCATCACTCTCTTCCCGTAGCAGCAGCTGAGCTGGGGGAAGAGAAGCATTGCGAGATCTGCAGTTTGGGGCTGTGTTGGGGCCAGAGGAGGGGTGCCTCTCCCCCAATGATGGCTGATCTTTGTTTGGGCTATGTAGGGGCTGGAGAAAGGTCAGCTCTCACCTGGCCATGGAAGGTCTGAGGCAAGAGGAGAGACACCTCTTCTTGCTGCAGCTTAGAGAGATCTTAGCCCACCACAGTGACCTATTTGGAGCCAAGATGGAAACCTCCTCTCTATATCTAGGTGTATAACCCCCACTCCAGCAAGGCTCATGAGAGCATCCATAATACAGAGAACCTTGTATAATTCCTCTGCAATAGATTGTATTCTTCTTGATTTAAGAGGGATAAGGAGACAGAAGAGAAAAGAAAATATAGAAACACCCAGCATTTCAAAATAAATTGGTCTTAATATTTTAATAATAAATATAATAGTTCCCTAACACAACTCTTACCATAGGCTCAGTGTTCAGATATCTTCAGAATAATTCTCTAAAAGTTCTGGTCCACTGTACAGTTCTGGGAAAGATTTCCAAACTTCATTAAGAAAAAAGCCCATTCTGTTTCCCTGCTTGGTAAATTAACCTCTTCATATGGAAATAATCTGCAATTTTGGCATTAATCCCAGATAGACAAATCATTGGTTTCAGTACCCTTTTTACATTTTATAC